GTCCCCTGATATTTTCATCTCAGTAAAGTCTTGTTGCTTCCTATGATAGAACGTCATTTGTGTGGCTTCCTAAGGCAAATCGTCCCTAAAAGCCAAGAGTCAGATAGGCAGCTACCACCCGCCAGTAATACAGGCTGCCACACCTCCACCCACCAGAGATAGTCTTTTGAAATTAGTGCCAGTCTGGACCTCTCTGAGTGAGTGCCCCTGGCGTTAGGCTTTGTGATTGGAACTGCACAGTCTGACTCCAGCTCTCTTGCTGCCCTCTCCTGGCTGGCATGGTGAGGATCAGACGCAAGCCCTGGTCCAGCTCCTGTGGCTCATGGCAACTGTTCTGTAGACTTGTCAAAACCTGTACCCGCAGAAAGTAACAGTAGGGATTTAAACACTGGTCATGGTGCCCAAGCTCATTTACTATGTCTTGTAGGGTCCTAAGACTTTTGGAGTTACATGTGCCATATAAAAAGAAGAGTTAGCATGTATTGAACATTGACGATATGCCCAGTATTGCTGAGTGGGTATTATTTCATTTCATCCTTCTCACAACCATGTGAGTCCCAGATCCCTGGACTGTTCGGCATTCCCTTTGCACACACACAATGAAACTGAGACCCAGAGAGGCTAAATACCTGATCCCCTACCCAAAGTGCAAAGGTGGTAGGTGGTAGAACTGGAGCTTGGAGTTAATTCTATAATTATCTCACTCTAAACCCCTGTTCTTAACTACTACCTAAGGTTCTTAGTCTTTTGTCCAGAGTCTAATTTAAGAGGAACCATAGGGAGCCAGAATGTGTCATTTTAACAAGTCTTACAGGATTCTGGTGCAGGTAACCTGGAGATCCACACTTTGAGAATCTCTGTCTGCCATAACAAGAAACCAAACTGCTTCCAGCAGGATTTAACTGTTCAACAGAAGCCTTCTCCTGGGATGGAACAAAAGGCTGGGTCTACCCCCTCCTTTGGGTATTAGAGGCGATAAAAAGAGGTAGTAAAATGTAAAGGCATCTTATCCTTTCTTGGCCCTTGGGCTTCCCTACCTCAGTTACAACTTAAACCCCAGAGAAGTATAACTCAGTCAAGCTTACCTGAAGAGGTATGACCCAGAATGCTGACAAACATACCAGTTACTGAGAACCCTGGCTGCTCTCACCATTTCACACCTACCAATTCCCCGTTCCTTTCTTTAACAAGTCAGACCCAGGGCTCAGGCATTCAGATTTGGAACTATCTATGCTTTGCAGGGCAGAGACAAAAGGAAAAAAGTTTAGTTGTAATCTAAACACAATGAATTTGCTATGAAACAAAGCAATCTGGGCTGCAACGATGTCTTGGCATGTTCTGGCTTTCCAGAAGCAAATCTATGTTTGGCAAAGAATGGGATGGAAACTTCTCCCCACCTGTTGGCCAACATTTCTTTGAATTTCCATATCTCTCTTTGGCTCCTGGGCAGGGGTGGCGATTATCCACATGCCTGTGAGGGTCAGCCGCTGGTTCACCCAGCAAAGAGGTGTCCTGGGGACAGAGCACAACAATACCAGGCCTCATGCTGGGTGTTGGAGAGAATTCAGTCCTCCAATAATTCGGACAGGTGTCAGCATTACGTCTTCATTTGACAAATAAGAAAACTGAGTCACAAATACACAAAGTAACTTGCCCAAGGCCACCAGATAATAAACAGAGCCAGGACTCTAACCCTGAGTGCTTGCCCTCTCCATGAAGCCATGTGCCACTGAAGGAGCCACTGCCCTCCATATTTGTTCCTCAAAATAGATTCTGGATTCCAGTCCAAACAGGTTCTACTCACAGGCTTTGCCTGTGGGTCCAACAATAATAGAAACACAATGAACCATTTTTTAAAACCGAGATTACATATGTCAAGCCTAGTGCCTGGTACTTTTCAAAGTACTCAGCAGATCTCCGGGCATTGTCAGGCCCCTGGACCAGGGTGTTCCATTGATCATTTGGTAACAAACACTTTGCAGCAACTACAATGAATGATCAAATTAGGAAGAAGCAGCCTTCGATGCAAAAATTTGATCATCTCACTGAGGAAATGAAAGAAGTTAATATTTAGAAAAACAAATCAAAGCTTATTAATAGCCAGTGTTCAGGGCCCTTGTTTCTAGTCCTCATACCACGAACTAGTAAACCTGTGAGCTTGGAGTAAATGACTTCACATCTTTTGGGGTCTCAATGTCCTCACCAGGAAAACTGAAAACTACTGATGTCAAAGGGCTTTCTTGTTTGGGTTACCTACGTGTTTGATTCTTAATAAATAACACAGGGGCACCAAAGTCAGGGAGGAAATAGAATTAGGTAGTCTTCCTTTGGGATCTTGGGGTCCAGGGGAAAGTTCCCCAAACCCTCTGGGTTCTTCTGAGGCTGGATGAACAAATTAATATCACACAGATTAGTAGGTGAAAAAGCCAAATTTAATAACATACCTGTGGAGAATTTACATGACTATAAATCCTAAAGTAAATGGGCTGAGCCAGGGACCTGTTTCTAGTGCTAGGAGACCTTGAGCATCAACAGATGCTCATGGTTTCATATGACAAGAAGGGGGTGACTCCATGCGAGAAAATCTTATCTCTGGGTATATGACCCACCTTAAGATAGGTTTCTCTGATAAAAAAAAGCTTCTTCTAGAGAGATCCCTAATCTAGGTAAGCTACCTGGCTAAGTCTTTAAGTGATGTTAACAGACTTTTCCAGGCCCTTCCACAGAGCCTCCATCCCACCTTAGGTCCCCATACCAAGGGGGCATTGATCGAAAGAGGCCTACTCTGGTATATTGAGAAAATCTTACTGCACTCTTTTGGGGAGACTGGTCCTGCAAGCATCTGATTTTCAAATTGAGCTCTGAATGTGATGAGGATCTTAATACTATTGGGGGGCAGTAGTGCTCCTGGTGCTTGAGTTACAGAAAATCCAACTCACATTGGTTTAAACATAAATGGAGTTTACTGACGGACTCACAGAATGAAGGAAGTCAGAGGTAGGGCACACTGGAGTAGCAGTTTGATGAGGGTGTTCAGCATAGGCTCCCTCTCCCCACCAGCCACCCCCACAATGGCCAACCCCCCACCCCCACCATGCCTTCTCAGAAACATCTCTGAGCATCTCTGAGACCAGCCTAGGACACAGCAGCCAATCCCCATGCACAGGGGTTAGAGTTATGTGATTGGCTTAGCTTAGGTCACATGTTTGTCCCCACAGCCTTGGACTAGACAATGGTTCTTTGGAAGCACATGGATCCCCAAATGGAAATTGGGCACTCCGGGGGACGGGGGAGGAATTGGCAGGGAGACAGCAACAAAATCACAAAAAGGAAATTGCTTTTATAAAATAGAAAGGAACTAGTAAACTGCATGTGAGCAAGCCCACAGCTGTGGCTGGCAGAGCCAGCATTCTGGGGAAAGATCTGGAAAAGTGGATCACTTGAGAGGGCAGTGGGGGTGGGGAGAGGCTGGCCTATCCCTGGTCTGGGGCATGAGCCCAGCATTCTACTGTAGCATTTCCAGAGCCACCAGCAAATTCAGGAAGTGGGCCTGTTTCCTTCTATTATGCAGGCAAATCCTTTATTCATTAAATAGGGTATTTACATGTTAGAATGTTCCATGTGGGGCTTAGAGGCTAGGGAGCCCACATTTCCTGAGCATTGACTCTGGGCTCCAGGCTCCCCCACATTCTCCTTTCTTGCTCCCAGCCAGGAGGCATCACCCACTCCACAGGCCAGAAGGAAAGGAAGTTAAGTGACTAGCCCAGACTCACTCAGCTAACAGGTGGGCAGAGGGGAGACTGGAGCCCCCAGAGCTGCTTGACTCTGAGGCTCACAAGGAGGGAACCCCACTGGTTTCCTCCAGTTCTTGAGAATGCCATTGCCCCTGAGTCACAGCAAGTGCTGGGACCAATGACCCTCCTGTGTGGTGACTTCTGCTTGGACACATGAGCTTGTCCTCAGCTACATCTCTTTGACAAGGACACAGGTGGATGCAGGCGGCTGGAGGCAGAGGGACACTCGTGAGCGGGGTCCTTTTTGTACCTGCCTCATAGGGGTGCCGGCCGGGGGCAGGGAGTCACTCTCCTCCTCCTCTCCCCTCCTCCCCAACAGCTGGGCATCTCCACTCAGAGTCTTATACCCCCTGCAAACTGTTGCAACTTGGGATGTGATTGTGTTCCCCATTCTACAGCTGAGCAAACCAAGCCAGCACTGGGAAGGCAGCATCACGGCAAGTGGTCTGCCCGTGAGAAGATGTTCTCAGCCCCAATTTACGGAGGAGTGAATTTAACCCTCAGAGGCGGCACACAGAGACCACAGTCCTGGCAAGGGACTGAGTTGGGATCAGAACTCGAGTTCCCTCTGACTCGAGGCCGGCTTGAGTGCTCTGTGAAGGGTGACTTCATGCCGTAAGGAAAACCTTCAGGGAAGCTATCCGGCCTATGGAGCCCCCCCTAGCAGAGAATGTCCCCTGGGCCCTGAGGGCAGCGTGGGGCCTGCTTGGTGGGACTGAACCCAGTCCTTCTTGGGCCCTATGTGCACGTGGGTGTCACTCCCCTCCCCCCTACACCCCACATCTTTCTTTCCCACCTTATCAGGGGCCCTGAGCAGGCCCAGCGAGGACCCCCTTCCTAAGCAGGCTCTCTGGCCCAGAATTTTCTACCCATAACAAGAAGAGCTCAGACTTCCTGGAGCCTCTGTCCACATCCCCTGAAGATGATGCTTTCAGGAAGCCTTTTATTTTGTAGGTTTGCCTCCAGCATGGGAACTGGGGATGGGAAGGGCCACGTGAGCAATTCGTGAGGTGTAACGCCAGCTACGGGAGGGACTGCAGGAAAGAGGCTTGCCCCCCTTCCCTTAGGTTCTGTTTTTAGCCTCTGTTTTTCTGAACAAGCAGGTGCCATGGTGACAGGTGCCATAGAGATAGATGGAGCAAGCCGCCCAGCACGGGGCTGCGGAGCGGTTCCCGTGGAAACGCAGTGCTGGGGAGAACCCTGCATTCTTCTGCTCTGGCTGCTGCACAGCAGGACCCCACCCAGGAAGGGCCCCCAGACCTGCCATCTGCACCCAGGGAGAAAGGGCCAGTTGAAGTCCCTTGAGGCTTCTGACTTTCTCAGTGTGTTTACTCGGGGTCCCTGAAGGACACCCTTCTTCCAGGGCACCCAGAGGGGCCCTGTCTCTGAGTCCTCTGGGTGAACTCTTCTAAGGATCTTTGCCTTTGCCCAGCAGAGCTATGGCCTTGGCCTCTAAACTTCCAGCACCAGCTTTCCTGTCCCCACAGCTGGAGGTGGCTGTCCCCATCCTGCCTGCATGTGGAACTCTCCCTGGGTCTGTGTGACAAGAAATAAAGAGCTGTGGGGCAGAGCCCGAGTCCAGGACATTTGGCGGCCAATACTCACCAAGTGAATTCGCAGGGAATCTCAACCAGAGGCAGAGAGGGGAGGGCGCAGTCACACGTAAGCCTGTGGTTTTCAGTTTCCAACTGTTACAGACATGGGCCCAGCTTCAACTATTTCTTGATGTAGCTTACTAGACTGAAAGACCCTTTGGAACATGAGCCAAATCACGACATGTATAGAACCATCTCTGCATAGCTGTTCATAGGTATGCATAAATGATTCTGGCCCAAGCTTTGGTCATTCTTATTTGGACTTAGACTGGTTGAGTGTTTTCTGAAATGTAACCAATATGCACAATGTCCTTTCAACCTAATGTCTTGTGTTCGACATGGGATAAGAGGATGACATTGAATATATCTGCCCCATTATACCCACTTCTGGGATAGATTTCTTTCCATAGATTTATGATGTCAGATGGCATACTGTTATGCCATTATCCAGGCAGGGCATGGATAATTCTAGACTAATATATGGTTCTGAGACCAGTAATTCTAAAAGCTGATCAATTGAGAGTGAATTTTACTCTCAAAGAAATACATAAACACACCTCTAACAGAGGTAGGGGGGAGACCCTTAACACCACCATCAGCTCATAAATATGCCTAAGTAGTTATAGTTTATGAAACCATAGAACTAGAAGGTCCTAAAGAAATGCCTGTCCTGGCACACCTGGCATTTGACACAAAGAGGCTGAGACCCACTGAGCAGAGCTGCTGTGCTGTTGAGCTCAGCATGTCTTCCATGCGTGCAGCAGTGCAGCTGGTCATTGTCACCAGCCAAGGCCATCCCCAGCCTCCAGCTCTGCCACCCAGAGCATGGTGCTCACAGTGACCATGAAGTGGCCCTGCAGGGCATGCTGTTGGTTGAGTTGTGCTGTGGAAGGGCTGCTAGCCATGAAGCGACGCCTGGCTTACCCCTAGCACCCACGCTACCCTGGAACCGTGTAACTCTGCCTTTACTGTTACCAGTGTCATGCACTTAACCCACATCTCCTGCATCTGTACCCATGGGTCATGTCCCATAGCTCTTGCAGGTCGTGTTCCATGGCTGCTGGGCCCACCGGCACTGCAGGACCTCTGCAGGGAATATGCAGGCAGGAAAGCTCTAGCTTGCCCAGCCAAGCGAACTGTGAAATGGAAGGCTCTGACTTTCTTGCCCAGAACAGTGCCCTAACCTGGGGTTTCACCATTTGGTTGGTTTGGCTTTATTTGGCTGAGTCACTAAGCAGATTTGCTTTGAAGACCGAGGCTCTCAGACACTCTATATAGTCTCTAAGAGTGGACATCACAGTCACATTTGGCAGACAGTGATTTCCCCAAATTTTCACACAGTCATAATGCTGCTGTTTAGCTGTGTGAGGCAGACATACAAAAACCTTCCTTCTTTTCCCAAGATCAGCTCTGGTCCACGGAGTTGGTTGGAACAGGAACACCGGGTTTGACACTATTTGATGTTTAATCAAAGACACGCTGGCCCAGGTGTTGCTTTTCACATCAACAATTTGCAAGTAAGCATTTAAAGTGAGTGCATCTTAACAATTGTGATTTACTTTTTTTTTAATTAAAAGTTTATTTTTTAATGTGGTAAAATGTAAATAACATAGAACTTACTACTGCAACCATTGTTAAGTGCACAGGTCAGTGGCACTGAATAACTCACACCACCCAGAATTTTCCTTCTTCCCAAACTGAAACTCAATCCCCTGAATACTGACTGCCCATTCCTCCCTGTCCCCTGCTGTTGACAGCTGTAGTTCTACCTTCTGTCTCTGTGAATTTGACTCTAGGCCTCTTATGGAAGTGGATTCACAGCTTTAGCCCTTAAGGACAAACTTATTTCACTAAGCATCATGTCCTAAGTTTCATCCACTTTAGCAGGTGTCAGAGTTTCCCTCCTTTTAGAGCTAAATAATATTCCATTGTATGCGTATGTGACATTTTGTATATCTACCATTACATTTTTCTGGAGCTTATTTCTGATCATTTAAACATTTTGAAACAATCACAAAGTCCCCAAAACTGCAAGGATGGTGCAAAACACCCTCTTTTTTTCTTGAACTCAAAATAATTTTCCCTTCATCTTCCACTACTTTCCTGTGCATTTCTATGTGCAAAGACACTTTCCTACCTAATCACAACACGACCATCAAGACCAGGAAAATAACACAGATTCCTTACGACCATCGAGTCCTCAGATGCCATTCAAATCTCTCCGACCATTGAAAGAGTGTCTTGTCCCACCAAGGCATCCAGCTCAGAATCTCTTGCATTTAGTTGTGTCTGTTCAGGCTCCTTCGGCCTGGAAGAGCAACTCAGCCTCTGCTTGGCTTTCATGACCTTGACACTCTCGAAGAGCCCAGATTTTGTAGACTCTCACTTTAAACTCTTTCTAAAGTTTCCTGGGGATCAGATTCAGGTTTTGCATCTTTAATAGGAATGTCACAGCGGGTCAATGTGTTCTCTCCTTGCCTCCTGCCACCGGCTGCCTACTGCAGCTCATCCCTGTACCAAGGTACTCACACAGTCTTGTGGTTGAGGTGGTATCTGCCAGGTGTCTCCACTAGAATGCTAGTCTTTTCCTCTTTTCAATTAATAGGAATTAATTATGGGGGGGGACTTTGAAACTATGTAAATATCCCATTCCTCATCAACTTCAGTTATTTTTATATACGTATGGACTTAGGGATTCCTGAATCAGTGAGTGAGTTATATTCATTGCCATCCTTATTTATTTTTTTGTTTGTCTTTAAAGATTTATTTATTTATGCATACAAGAACTGGGATAGTGCTTCATAGTGCTGTGCTTAACCCCTTGCATCACCAGGGAGGCCCCTTATTTAATTTTTTTAAAGATTTATTTTTTATTTTTTTTAGTATGTTAAAATTACATTTACTTCTTTTTTTAATTTAAATTTTATTTTTATATTCCCCATACAATTACAACCCCCTTATTTTGACCCCAATCCCTCCTTTCCCTGCTTCCCCCCATCCCCCATAGAGTGTCTCTGGTTCATAGTTGTTTGTTGATTTTGATATTTTCTTTCTTATAGTTATTCTTTTTCCTGGTCCCTTATTTAAGTTTTCTAAATTCCTGCTATGAGTGACACCATCCGGTATTTTTCTTTTTCTTTCTGGCTTATTTCGCTGAGCATGATCCCTTCCAGCTCTGTCCGTGTTGCTGCAAATTGCATGTGTTTATCTTTTTTGAATGCTGAGTAATATTCCATGGTGTATATGTACCACATCTTCTTGATCCAGTCATCTATTTTTGGGCATTTGGGTTGTTTCTAAAGCTTAGCTATTGTAAATAGTGCTGCTATAAACATAGGGGTGCAGGTGCTCTTTGGAATTGATGTTTCTGTGTCCTTCGGGTAAATACCTAGGAGTGGAATAGCTGGATCATATGGAAGCTCTATGTTTAGTAGGTCAAGAAATCTCCACACAGCTCTCCATAGTGGTTGGACCAGTATGCACATTAAAGACATCTTTACAGACACATCACCCAAAGCAGTGATAGTGAAGGCAAAGATAAACAGCTGGGACTACATCAAATTAAAGAGCTTCTGCACAGCAAAAGAGACAATAACAAAAACAAAGAGAAACCCCACCAACTGGGAGAACATTTTTGCACCCAACACTAATGATAAAGGACTGATCACAAAAATCTACAGAGAGCTGATGAGACTCAACAAAAGCAAAGAAAATAATCCAGTCAAAAAATGGGCAGAAGAGCTAAAAAGAAATTTCTCTGAAGAGGAAATGCAAATGGCCAATAGGCATATGAAAAAATGTTCAACATCACTTGTAATCAGGGAAATGCAAATCAAAACTACAATGAGATGCCATCTCACACCAGTGAGAATGCCACATATTAAAAAAACTAGCAACAACAAATGTTGGTGAGGTTGTGGCAAAAAAGGAACTCTCCTGCACTGTTGGTGGAAGATTTATTTATTTTTGCATACAAGAGCTGGGGTACAGGCCAGAGAAGCATGGGGTGAGAGGATCCACCAGAGACAGAGTGGGAAACAGAACAGGCAGACTAACTGAAATACACTGCTGAGGGGAGCAGCGGGTGAGACAGGAGAGGTCTGCTGCACGATGTGGATAGCTCCCTGGCTGGCCGGGGATCGAACTCATGCTGCAGAGGCTGCGGATTGCTTCATAGTGCGGTACTTAACCCCTTGCTCCACCAGGGAGGCCCCTTATTTATTTTAAAGCCCAAATTTTCCCAGCTTGACCAGGGAGAGTCCCTCCATCCTGGGTCCTTTCTACATGGCTCCATTAGTCTCAGAGCACATCTGATCCCATTTTTTGGCACAAGAGCTTCCAAGCTCCTCCTCCATCTTCTTGCACCCTTGTGGCATCAACCACTCTACAAGGAATCTTGACTCATTGTAATGGAAAATGGTGTGGAGAATCCACAATCTGGTCACCTGATATTCTTATTCCAATGAAGTGTAGCTACTCGCAGGCAGATCTAAAGAACACACACGCATACACACACACACTCACACACTCCTTTCCTTCTGATACCACAGGCCAGGCTGCCATACCCCGCCCCACTGAGGAATCCCTCCTTCCCCATCAGGATGTGACACCACAGCTCAGGCCACCCTCCCTGGGTGTCATTTGACCCTCGAGTTAGTCCACCATGGCTTCCCACCCTCCACCACCCCACCCCCAAGCAGACACCCACCTCGCCTGCTCCACCTAATGACTCTAGGACTAAACCGTCTGGGAAGGGGAAGTAAAGAGACTGTCATTGGCTTTGGTTGAAAACACTTGTTAAGCACTCTCTGCCTCTTGGGATCTGCCCTGCTAAATACACAAATACCCGTGATGGCTGCCAGCCTTTCCCACTCTTTCGTTTCTGTTACTATAATGAAAAAACACTTAACGAAGTATTTATGCAGTTTAAATGCCTGCTTCCTTACGGCAACATCTATTTTGTGCATTTACAGTTGTATTTAGACTGCCACCAGCAACTCTCTTGGCAAACGTTGAGCAACTCCCACCACAAAAATTAACAAGTGGAGACAAGGTCTGTACACCTAC